TAAGGTAGGAAACCGAAGCAGTAATGGAATCATATTAGTGCTTGGCTTTTCCATTGCACAGGTGTAAGGTAAGGAGTCAGTGGGCTGAATTCTTCCAATGAAGTCCCAAAATAGATAAGAGGTTAAAAAACATTTAACCAAAGAGCTATTTTCTTTGCTAGGCAAATAGTATTACAAAACCTTTTAAATATGAATTTGCTTGAATATTTAATGAAAGACCTAAAGTTATATTGCAAAAGAGGGAGAGAAAATTTAAATTTTATCCTTTGTATAGAAAAGACAGGCAACTCCTGAGGGTGGTCTCAAGAGTTATTAAAAGAAGGCTGCCATGTCTCCTGCATTACAAGTGCCAGGCTCTGTCTATCTAATTCTTACTTTCTATGCTGAGACTTCATTTACATTGCTTTGACTTGCATCAAGTAGCTACCTATCAGTTTCTAATGTAGCCACAAGCTATTCTGGAGGATATTTAAACTCATAGAGACAAACAAAATAGACTTTTCACAGGAGAAGCATAAAGTTAAAGAGTTTGTAGATACGTCCTTCTCAAACTGCTTTGAAAATTGTCACTAAAGCGTATGACGTGGTAGATCTGGAGGGGATGTTGGCTGCTATCCCATGTGCCAACCCCTTCCATGGTCCTGGGAGCTCATTACAGCTCTGGGGCTTAACGAGCGTCTCAGCCCTGATCAGCAGCTGAAGAGAAGAGTTTGCTCGGAGCCCCTAGTTTGGAATAGCACGTCAGCAAACCGTTCCCATGAGCACTTCATGAGACAGAGTGTACAACATCTGTCCCAAAATTTTGATTTGAGATACGATTTGGGTTATGATATAGAATTTATACAGTATAAGAGATGATAATTTTTTAATCTCATCTTTTTGCAGTAGTGGAGGACCCTGACAAAAATTAATGCCAAGCTTTATATTAGGCAAGAAAGAGAAATAAAAAAACCTGAAGCGTAATAAAGTTGAGGTAAAGGTTGGTAGCCCTAGGCTATGTTCTCGGTTTGCTTTAGAGTTCAGGTTTTTTTACCCCAAATCTAGTACAGCACGTGTATTACTTAAATTTTCGTCTTTAACGATCATGCATAAACCATTAATTTCTATCCTTGTGGGATATATGCGAAAAGAAAACGAGGATGGTAGTCAGGATACTGGCAGGTTGAATTCTACGCTCTTGTGGTTTTTTAGTGCTAAATGTGAATGCTTTATATAGAATAGATTGCTTTGGGTTGAAATGATCAGTTTTATTCTGATTTTCTTCTCCTTCTTACTTCTTTGCTGTTTTCCGTACCTGGTGGGCGAGGGAGAGAGGTCTGTTTCAAGATAAATAAAAATTTTTGTACCAAATTGGCTGCTCGTGTGTTAGGGAGAATGGGAAATCCTTGGCACATCCTCAACTACTTGACGTACCATACGTTTGTTCAGATTCTTAATTTTTCCATTCTGATCTTCCTTAAAAGAAGTGTGAAGGACAGTTATTTCCTAAGTGATTTTTCAAGCGTGGTCTGAATTAGATGAATTTTTATCAGAAATCATTATTAAGTTAAAAAAAGGAAGTTTTAAAATAGAGTTATTAGGTGAAACAAAGTCAGCAGTGTTAAATTTGTAAGAGAAACGTTTATCGAAACATTCCCCATATTTGAACTAACAGATTTATTAAGCAAAGGTGGTTTCTCACGTAGTTAGTACGTCTCATTTTTCGGGGTCCTTGAGACCCCCCAGATCTGTTGGATTGCAACCTCCTTCCCCTTTTCCTTCCTAAACCGACAGAGGAGAATAAGCCTTGCGTGTTTTCTGCTACCGGCGCTTTCTCGCCGTTGAATGAGCTGGCTATTGAGCCCAGCTAAGGCGACACGGAGGGAATGTTCTCGCTGCAGATGGAGCTACGTCTGTCCGACACCGGCTTTGTGCTTCGGCAAGTCCTGGCTCCTCATGCTTGGCGGGTGACTGCTTCCACTTCGCTAATTCAACGTATTTTAGAGCATCAGCAGCAAACAGTGTTTGAGCGTTGTTTACTATTTAATTAAAACAGACTGTAATTAACTTGTATCTTCATGTAAGCTGTCATTTTAATTGAGGTTAACTTAAAAAAGTATTTTAAGGACTCTCATTTGCTTTTTTATTATTTGTAGAATTCACTTTACCTGCCCCAAACGTAAGCTGCCGAACCGCCTGGTTTTCCTTTG